TGTGCAGGATTTGCCAGGAGACACAGGGGTCGATGGATCCCAGCTGACGATAACCGTAGTATTTTCTAGGGGTGTGTGTATATGTACATATGTATAAGTAGAAATTCTTGATTAGCTTTGCGTAGGCTCTAGTACATCAATTCTCGGGATTTCTCAAGCTAAGCTGGGGTCCTGGCTTTGGGACCGGCCGGCAACCACTCGACAAAGCGAGAATTACACTATCAAAATACAGTATTTATTCCGAGAAGTAAAAATATAACAAAGCAAATTTTGGACGTTTACGGTGCTGGTCCACTTTGTTCTATTAATAAGTCATATTAATAAAGCTAGGACTACACATGGAATAATTTTAACACGAGGGGTAGAGATTTTCTATCTATTAGCAAAAAGGACAAAAAAATCCTACTAGATATCGCCATGTTCGCTTATGCTGAAATTTGGCTTATGCTGATTTGTTGTGAGAGGAAAACATTGTTCGTTAGCTGAAAAGCTGAAATTTGGCTTATGCTGATTTGTTGTGAGAGGAAAACATTGTTCGTTAGCTGAAAAGTAGTTCAAAATGAACAGGGTTGTTTCTCTCACTAGCAGTTGGGATGGGACCTGACCAACTGTGAACGTGTCTGTCCCTGCCGGTCCGCGGTCCATGTCCCGGTCCCAGGCCCAGGCCTTGTCTCGCTCTGTTGGCAAATGAGGAGCAGCAACACACACCAGCCGGGCATGTGTGTAGATGTAGCCCCCCTCCCTGGTATCTAAATCGTTCGTTTGCTTTATTTCATGGGATCCCACTGGCACAGCATTTGAGCTCCGATTCAACCCCAAGCTGGGAACCATTTTATTAATTAAACAAAAACATTTTAAATAATAAGTTACGACCAGCTGGTATTCAAATGCACAAGTAAGTACCAATACAAGCGTCTGGGACACTTGGAGTCTCGTAACCCCAAGCTGGTATCCAAATCCACATTTTAAGTAATACGTATAGTACAAGCGTCCCTTTGAACATGCAGTTTGTGCCCCGTGCGCTGCTGCCGCCTCGTCCGTGCATGTCCGGCAGGTGGAACACGTACGGATATGGATACCACGGGCGCACCACACTACTCGGTCCGAACACGTACCTGTCGTACGCGTAGATTTAGTGCATGCATGTCGCGGCCAGGGCCAGCTCGCTTGGTTGAGCTGTTTCAAATTCAAAGGCTGCACTGCAGGTCTGCAGCTGCACGCACCAGCACCAGGACGGATGCGTGCACGCGACGCAGGCACAACACATGAGCACGTATGGCCGAATGAGAGGGTCGGGGGGCGCTGCACTACATTGTGTGTGCTTGCTTTGTCCGAGAGGAAAAGAGGCCGGACACAGCAAAAAAGAGTGGCCGTAGCACATCAGACCGACGGGACGGGACTCAAGCTCATGGTCCGCGCCATTGCGCCACGCAGCGTGCAACTACATAGGAGCAGTACTCCTGTACATTTTCGTTCCAAAAAAAAACGTACTCCTCCTCCATAACAATGTGCAGGAGAAGCGCGTGGCGCTGGTGGAACATTGCATATTGAAGACGACTTTCAGTAATTAATGAGACTTGTAAATAAACGCTATGTTCGGTTGAGCTTATCAGCTAGAATTCGCCATACTTTTTAGTTATAAAATATTATTTTTCTTTCCCCACAAATCAGTCATATAAATCAGCCGCAACCACGATAAATCCTTCCGAACAACATGAAAGGTTGTAAGGACGCTTGCATTTTAAGTAGTAATGTGGATTGGACAAAGCATTTTGAGTTATGAGACTTGTAACGGTCGGATCAGAGTACGAAATAGAACCTTGCTGTGTACTACCTAGTATTTTTTTTCTTTATTTGTTTAGAAAAAAAAAGATCTGAATAAATACCTTTGTACTTTTGCTACTCCGTGGACAACAGCGGTACGCAGAGAGAAAGAACAGACATGAAAAGCTGCAGAGACTTTTTGTCGTCTCCTCTCCCCTCCACTCTCTCCCTTCCTTTGCTCCATTGCCCGTTGGCAAAGGAAGCAGGGGCGAATCAGAACGAGAGGGAGAAAGGAGAAGCACACACAACAAACAAGCTTCGGGGCGTCATCAGCGGCTGGGAGCATGGCCCTCGGACAGGTGAATGATGCCGCAGTTAGGGAGCATTGCCGTCGTCTTCTTGGCTATATCTGGATTAGTACAGTATTTCCTGGCTAGCTACTCAAATTAGAGCCGTTGAATAATCCGTAGAGGACGAGAGCCAGATTTTTGTTCTATCTGGAATTCTGGAATAGTAAAGTAGTACCTCGGAATCAAGTGTCCGTCCACATCTTTAATTTGCAGGCCGTCTGAGTTGTTTAGATTGCAAGTTTTTTTACTCTCTTTTCATCACATCAAATTTTTGGACACATGCATGGAGTATTAAATGTAGATAAAAAAATAACTAATTACACAGTTTGACTGTAAATTACGAGACGAATTTTTTAAGGTTTTTTTACTCTCTCTTCATCACATCAAATTTTTAGACACATGCATGGAGTATTAAATGTAGATAAAAAAATAACTAATTACACAGTTTGACTGTAAATTACGAGACAAATCTTTTGAGCCTAATTAGACCATGATTGGATAATAATTGTTAAATACAAACGAAAGTGTCACCATGCCGAATATTAATTCTTAACCCCAATCTAAACGAGACCGAGAACAAGTTTGGACCACGACGCTGCTGACCTGAGCCGCTCTCAACTCAGGTGTCAGCAGGTCTCTCAGCTGCAGGCGCGACGCTAGCCAATGAATGCTATGCTGGCCAGCCGAGCATTTCTTGGTTGGCTTGGCACCAGATTTCATTTGTTCCGGCAAATCATAGTCTACTGTATAGACCTCGCCAACAGATTTCTCTGTAATTATGTAAAGCCACGTCATCAAAATTAGCACGTTGTTATCTAGTAGTCTGGACAACAGGAACATTTGGGCCCGGCACGTCCCTGGTGGGTAGGGACCCTGGGTGGTCCGTGACTCTGCGTTGCCTAGGTACCGTACGGACGTGGACGTCATGTCCGTCCCCGCTTGTCGCAAATCTAAGGCCTTGTTTAGATTGTGAATAATTTCAACCCGATGAATAGTAGCACTTTCGTCTTATTTGGTAAATATTGTCTAATCGTGGACCAACTAGGCTCAAAAGATTCATCTCGTGATTTTCAACTAAACTGTGTAATTAGTTTTTTTTTTTACCTATATTTAATACTCCATGCAAGCGTCCAAAAATTGATGTGATGGAGAGAGAGTGAAAAAACTTGGAATTTTGATGTAAACTAAACAAGGCCTAAGGGGCATTGTCGAATCAAATAAAGGAACACTGGTGGATGAAGCCACACGAACACTGGTGGGGAGGGCAGCGCGACGCCTACGCTAGTGTTGTGACCAGCAGCAGCACGCCACGCCCTGCCCTGACGGGACCGGGGCAGCACCGCGCGCCGCAGCGATAAATGAGAACCAATCGACGCCAGAAAAAGAAGCTCGCTACAGTACTAGACTTTCAATGCAGCAGAGACGCACTACGTACAAAAGATACTAGGATGCATCATTCTACTGCTTTTGAATGATATATATTTAGGAATAACAAAGTTCTTTGATTTTCCATATACAGTAGGCATTAAAGTTTAATTTATATTATCTGGTCTGCCCAGTGATGTTGACCATTAGGGACCCGTTTGGACGACCAAAACGTTCGGAAGAATTGGCGCCAAACGCATCTGCCTCGAAGTATTTTTACCTCGAAACGTTTCTACCAATTCCGACATTTTAGCCTACACGAGCGAAACGTTTCTCCTCTCTCACATGCAGTAGCAGTCGATTTCTTTTGTACTTATCCTTTTCTTGAGTGCAACAAATTAAAATTAATGGTTTCCATTTAGGTTGTTATTAGCCCACAAAAAGACCAAAAATTTTCTGGATTAATGGGAAAGATGCTTTTGCTATCCAAGTGACGTGTGTTCCTTGCGTTTCCGATTCTATTTTCCAATAGTTCGATATTTCTGAAACATTAGGGCCGTTTGGACAACGGTACTAATTGTGGTTCATTTAAAGTTTAATTTTACGGCACTTAAATATATAGGTGAATTAATGGACTGATTTAATTTTTAGTCCGCACAACCTAGCAGGCAACTAGTTCATTAATCGGTAGGAGAGTGCTAAAAGAGACTAATAGTAGGTTGAACTTTACTCGCCTAACAATTAGTTATAGTAACCAGTGGACTACTAACTAATTATAATTGATCCAAATAGTTTCATATATGCCGTTGTATTTAATTTATGATGACCTTCGTGAAACTATTTTGATGGTTGTAGGTGTTAATAATTTTTTTAAAAAGGAGTTTAGTTAGAGTTAGAGAAAATGTATTTACGACAAACTAAATTAACGTTTGCATTTTGAGTTTTGAACCGTGGTAGCAAGAAAGAAAGTTTATATGGCTCGCTCGGGGACACGACACTGCGCTCATGCAATGCATGCATCCCACCGGGTGGGATGGAAATGGGACCTCTCTTCTCTCTTTTAGCAACAGTGCGGAGAGAGAGAGAGAGCTCACACTAGAAAAGCTGCAAACAGACCTTTGTCCTCTTCTCTCCACTCCCTCTCTCTCCCTTCCTTTACTCCATTGGCCATTATTGCCCGTTCTACTGTATTACGGTCCCGTTTGGTTGGCACCAGACGTATTTATTGTTTATATACAGTTTATAGCAGCTTTTTTTTTTATTCTCTCCTCTCTCTCCTTACCTCATCGGCCGCTGCCTTCGCTTGCTTTACTCCATCGGCCGCTGCCCGCTCTGCTGTATCGCACACAGGAGGCACGTTGATGGCCATTGCCCATTCTTTAGGGAGAGACGAGAGGAAACCGCACAAACCCAGCAGCTGCCTTCGCTTGCCCAGCTCCCCCTCTCCCCCGTTGTGAGCTTCGGAGCTTTCTCTCCCCTATTGTGATCTTCGGAGCTTCATCAGCTAGCTGAGAGCCGAGCATGGGCCTCGGACAGCTGAAGGACGCCGCGCTCAGGGAGCGTCGCCATCGTCTTCTTGGCGCGGACATGGTGGCGGCGGTGAGGCGTCCAAGTCGTGCCCAGCTCGGTGTGCTCGTCGACGGAGAACGGCAAACACATAGCCACCTTGCTGCCGTAAGTGTGCGCTTGCTTCTTGCTTCCATCTACGTGTTCTACTGTTGTTGAAGGGAAGACAAGCTGTTTTAATCGTGGGGTCTTTTTTTTTGTTTGCTTCTTTTTTCAGACTGTTGCAAGTGAAGAAAAAAGAGGATTGGAGACACTGATGATGGGTCGCCCCACAAATCCTCTGCATACCTCGCCAACAGTAGCGGGGAAATTCACGATGGAGTCCCCGTGCAAGCTCGGCAACATGTTAGATGCGAGCCCGATTCACCATTCCTGCGGGATGCACGACCCAGTGAAGGTCGAGGGACTCCTCTGCTCCAATGCCCCTTCTGAGATCCGTCCTCATGCCCAGCTCACTGGTGCGGCACTCATCCATGGAGAACGGCGAACCCATCGCCGCGCTGCCGTAAGTGCCTGCTCACTTAGTGCTTACTCCTTTCTATGAGATCTGTATGTATCCCGTTTTTTTCATGAAAAATTTTAAGTTGATTTGTGTAGATCCTCCCCTGCTTTTTAAAGTTTATATTTTTTATTTAAAGGGTGTAGAAAAATTAGTTCAGTAAGTATTGAGTTGACTGCTACAGCATATATTAACAGGAAAAAGAACCTTTTTTTTTGCAATTTCAACTCTGTGCTTAGTTTACTGTTCAGACAAAAATAATATGCATCTCGCACTAGACTGACGCTCACTGTTTCCTATTGAAGGGAAAGAAGTTTAAGGGAAAGTAGTTTAATCCTCACATCTTTCTTTCTTTTTTTCCAGACCACAACGAGTGGAGAAGTAGTCGGGCTGCAACAAGTGAAGCAGCAATCGGGCCGGAGACGCTGTCCTGGGCCAGCGGAGGAGGACTTTCTTCTTCAGGTTGAGGGACCTTTCTGCTCCAATGTTGGTTCCGAGAGTCGTCGTCCTCATGCCCAGCGCAGCGGTGCGGCACCCGTTGATGGAGGATGCCAGACCCATCACCGCGCTGTCGTAAGTGCCTGTTTAGTGCTTACTCCTTCCAGATGTGTATATATATATATCCTGGTTTTTTCATTGGAATTTTTTAGTTGATTCCGTATATCCTCTCCTACTTTTTAAAGTTCAGGAAATTCATTTAAAGGGTGTAGAATTAGAATAGAATAATCATCAGATCTTTTGTTTGTTTGTTGCTTCTTCAGACTGCAACGAGCCAAGAAACAAGAGGGCCGGAGACTCTCATGACTGGTTTCAGCACAAGTGCACTGCGTTCCTCGTCAGCAGTAGCAGGGATAGGGAAGACCATGGTAGAGCAGACCCTGAACGGAGACCCATCGCCGCGCTGCCGTAAGTGCCTGCTTACTGCTTTGACATAAGGATAAGGAAATTCGTTTAAAGGGTTCAGAATAAGAATAGGCTAATAAAAAGGAGTCTAAGTTAGTTCTACATGTACGTTCAAACTCTTCTTCTTAATACCATAATACGCAAATCTTTTGCGCATTCGAGAAAAAAAGTTAGTTCACTACATGTTTGTTTTGATTTGAATGTTATATGTAATAGGAAAAGGAGTCTTTTCTTTTGCAATTTTAAAAAAATATGGGCATCTCTCACTAAACTAATGCATCACTTTTTTTCTTTTTTTTTTTAATATATAAAGATCACTGTTTCCTTGTTGAACGGAATGTAGCTAAATCATCTCATCTTCTTTTCTTTCAGATTGCACCAAGTGAAGATGCAGACGGGCTGGAGACTCTGATCCCTAGCCAGGATAGTGATTCTGATGGTAATGATAGCATGATGATGCCTATTTTCGTGAGGCATGGTTCTGGGGAGTTGACCTTATCTATCAGGATGGATCAGTCTATCAATGACTTGATGCAACTCTATGCACAGAAGACAAAGACAAAACTGGACAGTCAGTACTTTGTGTATGAGAGGAAAAGACTTGAGGCTCGTCATAGTTGGTTGTCATATGGCTTAAAGAGGGACACTACGGTACATGTATGTACCAGGCTTCTTGGAGGAGCGTAAGTTCAATATAATCCTGATTTATTTCATTTATATACTCAAGTTCATGTCTTCTTTCATTAACACTTGAGTATATATAATTAGTATGCACGTCGAATTAAATTTGATATTTCTTCTTTTTTCTGCACAGTAAACTAAAAAATAAAATTGCCCTCGCTTAACAAAGAGAAATAGACTTTAAACTTGCATGACAAAAGCATTTAACAACAGTTATAGAAATGAATCATCAATTAATATTTAGTGTGTTCCTTTTATGCTAGATTATTTGTTCTTACTGGATTAGAAACTTAAACTTTCTTACTTAAAGAAAAAACATGTATAACCAATACCTAAGATTTACCAAACCACTTTATATCTTGCTACACTTATATCTTTATTTCACTAATAGTTAAATTACATACATTTTAGGAATGATCCAAACCTAGAAGACTATAAACAACAACAAACACAAATTTGTACAAGTGATTCCTCTCCCTGATGGTCGTGCTTCAATACAGATGACCAGACTAGGATGTGAGTTTCTTTCGTCATGGATAAACTGCTTTACAACAGCATTTATTGCAGGCAGAAGTTGGAATGGTGAGTTTGAGTTAGTAGACTTTATATTTACTCAAGGCCACGTCCGCTCAAAAACCAAACCATCGAGACACACTAAAAAACCTGGTTCACTGGCAGCTGATATCACTAAGTTTGTTAGGGAAGTGGAAAGCATCCTTCTATTCAGTGACATACAAAATGTTGTCTCAAAGCATCCACCATACGTAGAAGCTTGTCTGAGGATTTTGGGTGGTCTTGTGGCACCTGGTGTAACAGGACCTTTAGCTGCTGTAACCGGTCCCTTGCCAAATGAGTACAAGCTACTTCTTGACACACTTGTATGTTGTATGACAAGCTATGCCAGAGAAAGACTGATTATTGAGTTATTCCGCAAGTATGAAGGTGCGGATAAAAATGAAGCTTCACTCTGGAAAAGTGCAATAAATGCTGCGACTTGCCCACCTACATGGCGCGCAGATCTCTCCACGAGTGCAATGTTCAATGATTTTATTCAGAAAAAAATCAGCGCGGGCAAACCATATCCAAAAGACAAAACTGGCGCATTTACCCTTTTGAGAGATGTGGTTATGCATGCTGCAGATTGTAGTGTAAGTTGAGCTTTAATTCTCTTCACTTAGTGCATCTTTTTTATTTGCTCTGTTGTGTTCAACGCGCTGTGGTATTGGGGAACAGGGCGTTAGTTAGAGGAACTGTTGTTTCGGCATAGTGGTATATTTATTGACCCCAATAAAACTAGTGCTGTAGGATAACTTCCTGGTAGGTTTTAACTTAAAGTCATGTCATGTTAGCTTCATGCTAGTCCTATAAAGAATTTGTTTGGACTTGATTGAAAAAGAAAAAATAGTTTATTAAAGTTTAAAGTGCAATATCAAACTGAGTTCTTGTTTTTTATTTTCAGGAAAATGCTAATGCACCAGAGTTAGGTGATGGCATTGAATTGATGATACCTGTTAATAAACATTTAAATGAGTTTCTTCCTTGCATCATCAAAAACCTAATCGAGAAGAAAATTGATCTCAGCGCAGAGTATGTTTATCTGAACTTCAAAACTTTTAGCCAGGTTTATATGGAAATTTTAACTTATTATTACCTACAGGTTATCAACAGCTATTCGGTGTGCCTGCAACATATGTGATTCTTAACATTAGGTACTCTCTATGCTCTTTTCAGTTTATACTGAATAATGTCTATATATTTTGGGATTTATAATCTAATATTAAAGCACTACTAGTGTGGCCTATTTGGTTTCTTGTGTGAACCTTGAGCCAGGTCTGGTTCAACAGCCTGCTTTTGTTTAGATCTGTGGTCCTCCCCTGATCTAGGCTACCTCAATGCAAGGTTCTGTAAGTTCTGGTCTTGTCCGGCCCCTCATACCCTGTTCCAACAAGTGCAGTGGCATCATGCCCCTGTGTGGCCTTTGCTCTCACATCCAAGTGCTAGGGGATACCGTTACCCCTGCATGATATCTCTCTTCTATTCTATTGCTTTCCACAGCCAGACTATAATGAACTTCTGGTGGACAGCGATCTGATCGGTAAGGTGCGTGTGTGAAATGCATAGAAATGTTCCATAGCTAATTAACTAGTCATAGAGAAGTCGAGAACGTTATCTCCTATCTAATTTGTATGTAGAAATTGAATCTGAATTGAAGAGAAGCTAGTGATACGTGATTTAGCACCAAAACGTCATATAGCTAGTCATACTTGATTTTGCATCAGAACGTTATACCAAATTTCAAAACGTCCTATAGCTAGTCATATTTGATTTAGCATCAGAAAGTTATATCAAATTTGTTTCCTTGTTGGATGTTCTTCAGCTATTAGTTTACACGTATTTTTCTTTTGCTATGATTGATGATAAATAATCTAGAGCCTGTCCTAGAGAACTTGGCATTTTCTGAGAATAGCCAGGTTTGTTTGCCAACTTGTGTAAAAGTATACATCCTTTTTTAACCAAGAGTTGAATATAGAGATGGCATAGGCTTGCAAGAGGACATCTTACATAAACAATGTTAGGGTTGCAATGTCTTATGGTTTATGCATGTGGCAGGCGTTAGGTCTGATGCTTGCAGGATGTTTTACTATTGGGAACTTTCTGATTTTATTGTTATATGAAAAGCACCATCTTTTGATTGCTGTTTATAATGTTTCAGTTTCAGTTATGAATATATGACACTGTTTAGGTTTGCAGATGGACAGTACCATCTTTTGATGCTACTTATAATGTCTATGTTTCACCTGTGAAGATCAAGACGTTATGTTTGCAGATGGACACTGTCTGAAACTTTGCTTTTTTTATCATTGCAGGTGGATCCGAAGGTACTCGTTACAAGAGCGCATGGGTTCTGTCCATGGATTGATGCTAGCGTTGGTGTTCTCTTTGTGATTGATGTCATGCCTGTTGTTTTTGCAAACAAATCTAACCGTACCTATTCGTATTCAGAATGTTGTGACTTAATCAGGTTTTATGCTATTCGTATTCAGACTGTTGTAACTTAATCAGGTTTTATGCTACATTCGTAGAGGAGTGTTAGTTAGACCAATGTATGTATGATGATACCTCTGATTCTCTACTTGGTCCAAGTAGTACCTACTTTTATCATATTATTCGCTACAAGCATGCTTGTTCACTATTTTCATACCGTATCTCGGTAGATTTGACATTTAACAAATCAATTTCCTGCTTCACCTCAATAAGAGGCAACGTCTTGCACTGAAACATAGAAGTGCGATTGACAGTTGAATTTAGTTTAAGCACGTCGAAAGAGAAGAGAGTGGACGGTCCCGATATCCCGTGCGCGCGCATACACATGCAGTTGTGCTCTTCCCTGAAGGAGAACTCTTTTTTTGGGTGGGGGGAAGGGGGAATGCCCCTTGTAGCTAAACCAAGAGCACTTTCATCTCCTTCAGTAACCTGCATTCCATGTTTCGCCTGTCATTTCATCACCATTAGATGCATGATATGTGTTCACGGGACAGTTTGTCAGTAATTTCAGTCAGCAGGCTACTGGTTTAGATTACCTGTCTTGATCAGCAGGCCCATCACCTAGACCTTGCTGTCTACATCACCGCTGCATGAATGATAAATACAAAGACCCAGACTTCTGAGATACAAAGTGATGGATGGATGTTAACCGTGTACATTAGCACGACTTTCAAATTCGCCTGCAGTACGTGTCCTTCTAGACAGCTGCTGTCGCTCGGTAGCACTACAGCGGACATGCTCGCCGGCGTTGTCATCATTGGTGGGTTCGCGGAGGTCCTCGTGCCATTCAAGCCGGCGATCCACCTACTAACCTATGTCAACGCGCCGCTCGATGACGTGCTGGCCATACTTTGGTCTCATGTGCTCTGACCATGAAATTAAACTGCCATTCTTGTCGCGGAGTGTTTCATCGACCACAATCTACGGCAACCTGAGAAGGCCGGGGATTACTCAGCTACCACTAATGTATATCAGAAAGAAAATAAATCTAGAACGACTTTGATTTGAATTTTAAACGTGGTTCGGTTTGATTTTGATTTTTTCTGCACAAACAATTGGAGCTGAAATGAAAGAATCAACAGGGTAAAACTGTCATTTTCCAATTTCCACTGATCATGGACATAGAGACTTTCGCCGATCCGCCGATCACCATCCTAACCCTAACCGTGCTGCCGTCGGTCTCCCCTGCGGCGGCGGCATGGAAGAAGCGGAGAACGGCACCAGGAAGCGCGCCCCCGGCAACGGCGTGAGGAAGGTATCCCCTTCTCCGACGAGGTCGTCCGCCCCGGAGCAGGGGGAGCCCTCTGCCTCGCCTCCGCCGCCGCGCGTCCCCAGGTGGCTGATCCTCGACCGCATCGTCCACCGCAGCAGGAGGAGGCGCTGCGGGGTCGTCGAAGACGACGCCACGGCCTCCCGTCTCTACCTCAGGATCGCCGAACCTCCCGCTGTCTCCCGTCTCTACCTCCACCTGACGGGCAGGCCGGGGATCAGCTTCCGGGGGCCCACCGCAATTCCATCCTCTTCCGGCTGACCGTCCCCTTCGAGGATCCTATGTGGTGGCACGACAGCTACTCCTTCCCCATCGACTACTTCGTCTACTCCTGCCGCTCCTCTTCGCCGCCTTCACTGACTCTGCTTCCCCCTGCTTCGACGGTGGCCACATCAACCCCCAGCTTGATAAGTTCTGCAAACCACATCGGCAGCAGCGACAGCGCACCATGTTGCCAGAAGATATGGGTATCCTCTGCCATGGCGACGAAGGCGAGTTCACGTTGCAGAACTCATGTTTTCCGAGCGCGATGAGATTGAGCTATACCTGCTGCACAATCCACCTCCTGCAGGATCTTCAATGGAATGGAATGTTAAGAAGGTGCAGATCCCTGCTGACACGAAGATAAACACCTACTTGTGGATGACTGACGCCGTCTTGCCCATTGGTACATGCTTGTGCTGGGTCGACAACTACCAGGGCATGCTGGTCATTGATGTCCTCACTGACAGCAACAGCACCCCAGATCATCAGCAATGGCTCCGTTACATCCCTCTGCCTAACAAGGCTTTGAAGTCTCTTGCGCCTGTACAAGGATGCGGACGAACCTGACCCGTTGCGCTCTGTCTGTGTCACTAACACTGGCATCATTAAGCTCGTCTGTATTCTTACCGAATGTCCTCCTTTCACCATAAAAGCATGGACTTTGGATCTCAGCACCACCATGGGAGCAGAGGAGTTCTTCTGTCTTCTTGGCGCTGGCCACAGTTGCCTTCCTCGGGTACAGCCAAGTTTTCCTTTGGTTAGCTTGGTTGATCCAGATGTTATCAGCTACCTGCTCAAGGACAAGGATCGCGGCCTTTTCTGGATGATTGATGTCAACATGAGGAACAAGAAGCTGCAGTTAAGCGCCCTCTATATCAGTGAAGAGGAAGAAGAAGATGGATACCCCCCTAAAAGGGGCCGCAGGAACAATTTCTTTGGTCATTGCTTCATCCCCAGCAAGTTCTCCTCTTACTTGAGTGAGGATGCCATCACAAGGTAATATTTTTGTATTCCTTTCTCTGTGTTTAGCTCTGTTGTGGCATCTTATTTGTACCACTTTTCTATCTTAAAGTTGTTACTAGCTATATTTTTTATAGCTCTGCATTTTAAAACATAAAGAGAACTCTTTCTTTGTCTCTTGAGCTCTCAAGCTCTTGTAACTGTAACTGTTCCACTTTTTTTTTATTAATCAATTCTCAGTAGGGGCTTGCCCCTCTTGTTTCATTCAAAAAAAACATAAAGATAACTGATTATGTGTAAAGTGACTAGTCAATTATCATATCAAAATATCACCATGATCTTTTTGCTCAGTTAAATGACTAGCTAATATGTTAACAGTGGGTTAATATAACCAGATTTATCTGCTAAATCATGAATGTATCATCAAACTTTAACCTGGTCTGCCAATGCATAAATGCAACACTATGCAGTAACACCTTCAATAGACCAACTCAACCTACTGACTGATCCAGAATCCAAAAAAGGATGAGTTCATCCTAACCAAAACAGAGCTAAGAGCCGTTTGGCAGGCTCCGGGCAGCTCCCTGACAAAATCTGCACCGATCACTGTAGCTCGGAGCCGGTTTTCAGTCCCCACATTTTCTGCCTCACTGCAGCGTGGTACTGTAGCACGCGGAAGCGGGAGCCGGCGAAGAAAAAAAAAAAACAAGCTTCTCCGACTCCGATGAACCGTGCGAGTGTCAGTGAGAGGGCAGAGAAGGAGAGAGGAAAATGGATTCTATGAACAGTACGTTACAGTGTCCGCGATAGGGGGCCGGAGCCGTGCCAAACGGCCCTAAGCATATTGATTCAGAATCCGGAGAATCGAACAGATAACATGGCTCTCAATTGCAGCAACTACTCCATTTCACTCCATTTCATTTGGATGAGCATGGGCCGGGGGAAGCTACAGGCATCGCCTACACGCATAGCCTTTTCTACCCTGCAGATAACCTAGCACTAGACGCGACACTGTGACAGGGAGTCCTGTCCGCGACGTGCGACCCAGGCCTTTTTAGATTAAGGCACCGTTTAGATTTAAAAAATTTTGGATTTTGATTTACTGTAGCATTTCGTTTGTATTTGTTAATTAGTGTTTAATTATGGACTAATTAGGTTTAAAAGTTTCGTCTCACGATTTCTCACCCAACTGTATAATTAGTTTTTTTTTCGTCTACATTTAGTATTCCATGCATGTGCCGTAAGATTCGATGTGACGGGTACTGCGCAAAATTTTTTGAAATCTAAACAGGCCCTAAGTTCCAAGTTTTTTTACTCTCTCTCCATCACATTAATTTTTGGACACATGTACGAAGCATTAAATGTAGGTAAAAAAAGTAACTAATTGCACAGTTTGATTGTAAATCACGAGACGAATCTTTTGAGCCTAGTTAGTCCATGATCGGACAAAGTTTGTCAAATACAAATGAAATATGCTACCGTGTCAATATTGCAAAAATTTGCAATCTAAGGCTGTGTTTAGTTGTAGGAATTTGGATTTTGGGGCTACTGTAGTACGTTCGTTTTTATTTAGCAAATAGTGTTCAAACATGGACTAATGAGGCTCAATACATTCGTCTCGCAATTTCCCACCAAACTGTGCAATTAGTTTTTCTTTTCGTCTACATTTAATGCTCCATATATGAGCCGTAAATATTCGATGTGATAGATACTGTAGCAAATTTTTGAAAGTTAGAGTGGAACTAAACATGTGTAAACAAGGCCCCAGCCTCCCAGGCATATCCTGACATCCACGTTCACAGCTTATGCAGTGTACCTAGACCCTCTCTCTGTCCCCATTCATTTCATCTATGTTGTAACTTGTCAGAAGTCAAAACGACTCTGATAAAGGGACAGAGGCAGTACGATGCACTCACTGATAGAGCGTGCGTCCCAGCCGTTGAGTACTCTCTGCACATTATTCATACTGATCTTTTGGTCCGATGTATGGATCCCGTAGCAGGGGTTTATCGACCGGAACATGCATGTATCTGTTCCGTCTGGCTGAGCTGATCCTGTGTGATCCAGTGGGAGGAAAGTTACGAGAGGCTTGCGCGCTGTGCGTGTTCGTATAATCGTATACGGCCGGGGCCGGGTCTTGCAAATTTGCAATGCCACTGGTCTACATGCACGAATACGCTTTGCCTCTCTCGCCGACACCTTGCAACTTGGGATTGATCGACCCAGTCGCGTTGAACCAACAACTTGTGCCTGCATTTGCACATGTACTGTACCAGGATGTGTAATATTCGTGTGTGGCTTATTTGCATAAATAGACATCAGGTTAACACTTAACAAGCGCTAAAGGCGAATCGCTGCTGATCATGAGTCGCTAAAATAAACCAGTAACAATTACTTCCTCCGTTCCAAAATAAATTTCCTTTTAAACAATTTAAGACACAATAGTAGTTATGATAAATGATCTTATTACCTCTAATTACTTACATTAGTTGTTATTGAAAGCCGCATTATTTGTTTGGTTTTCTAAATGCTGAACAAATGTGCATGCATTGAAGCTAGAAAAATAACATCCTTTAGTCCTTTAATTGGTTCTACACGCTTCAGGACACTACGCGCATGCAATGCATCCGACGGGATGGGATAGAAATGGACCTCTCTCTTCTCTCTTTAGCAACAGTGCAGACGTGAGAAAGCTACAGACAGATCTTGTTCTCTTCTCTCCACTCGAGGACAAGATCTGTCTGTAGCTTTCTCACGTCTACACTGTTGCTAAAGAGAGAAGGGAGAGGTCCATTCCCATCCCATCCCGCCGGATGCATTGCATGCGCGCAGTGTCCTGTCTCCGAGCGAGCGACATATGAACTCTCTTTCTTGCTACTACGGTTGCAAGCACACGTTAGTTTAGTTTGTCATAAATAAATTTTCTCTAACTCTAAGTAAACTTTTTTCTAAAAAAAATTACTAACACCTACAAACATCAAAATAGTTTCATCAAGGTCCTCATAAGTTAAATATATGAATGCTAATATTATTTCCTAAAAGCCTAAATCATTGACATTAGTATAGGAAAAAAAAACATATACAAAACTATTTGGATAAATTATAATTACGAGTAGTTTTTTTTTCTCAATCATGTAAAAGGTTTGCACGTCTTTGTATTAAGGTAAAGAAAAAGTTTAATACAACACGTCTTAGCGGCGCCCTAGATGGTCATAAGTGCACTACATGGACGCTCGTATCCTCCCTAGAGTACTGAAAGCTATGATGTCTATATGGACGTCTCTGTTATGGTTAATGACAGCTTGTCTACAAGATGTTTCTCCAGTTGGTTCTGATGAGGAGCAGCAACATGTTAGCGTGCAGGTGGAGCACGTAGATGATCAGGAAACTGAAATTGTTGATAACAATGTTCATGATATTGTTCAGCACTCACCTCCTGTTTTACAGCCTAAAAATCAGTCTACTGCAGATCGCAGAACAAAGAGGAATTGTGGACCTCGTCCATGTTTAATTGAGGAATGGATATGGTTTATTATGCTTTTAGTTGTGCTGAACAGGTGGAGAACATTCATGAGCCGGCTATGTACACTAAAGCTGTTGTTTCTGGTGACCGCGAGAAGTGGATTCTAGATATGGGGATTACAAGAGACAGAAATTCGGGTTTGTTATTTCTTAGTCAGCAAAGTTACATTAAGAAATTTCATCATCGTTTCAACGTGCATGATGCAAAGTCTGTTAGTGCTCCTATTGCTCCTCATTTTAAATTATCAGCTTTACAATGTGCTAGTACGAATGAGGATTTTTGAGTAGATGTCAAGAGTTTCATATTCTAGTGTTGTTGGCTCTTTGATGTATGCCATGGTTTGCTCTCGTCCTGATTTATCATATGCTATGAGTTTGGTTAGTAGATACATGGCTAATCCTGGTAAAGAACATTGGAAGGTTGTTCAGTGAATTTTCAGATACATTCGTGGCACAACAAATGCTTATTTAAAGTTTGGCTAGACTGATAAGGGACTCACTGGCTACGTGGATTCAGATTTTGCTGCTGATTTGGATAAGAGGAGATCTCTCACATGTTATGTGTTCATTATTGATGGTTTTGCTGTGAGTTAGAGGGCAACATTGCAGCCCGTTGTTGCACTGTTTACCACTGAAGCAGAATACATGGCTGTTGCTGAAGCATGTAAAGAATCGGTTTGGTTGAAAGGTTTGTTTGCTGAACTTTATGGGATAATTCTTGCATTAATTTATTTTGTGACAGTCAAAGTGCTATATGTCTCACAAAAGATCAGATGTTCCATGAGAGAACGAAGCACATTGATGTCAAATACCATTATGTTCGCGATGTTGTCGCACAAGGTAAGATAAAAGTATGTAAGATAAGCACACATGATAATCCTGCTGATCTGTTGACAAAGCCAGTTCCTGTTGCTAAGTTTGAGCTTTGCTCAAGCTTAGTTGGTAAGAGGCTATTTATGACCGGAAATATTTCTTTGTTGTTTTAGGGTGAAGGTTCGTTTTATGCTATAAGAAGGAATTTGTCTCAAGGTGGAATTTGTTGAGTTGTGATCCAAATTCAGTTATGTATAAGATAAAGACTAACT